AAAGCAACCTTTAATACCCACAATAAATGAGAATGGAGAAGCTGCTCTTACAGTTTCATCTTCAAACTAAAGATGTGTGCATTTAGGAAGCAATACAGGTTAATATACTGGTTTTGTTTTGTTCTGGAACAGGGTCTCACTGTGTAGCCCAGGCTAACCTCAAACTTGTGATCCTCTTACCCAAAGAATTGGGATTACAGGCAGGTGCTATTCACCTGGGTAAATATTTTACTTAAAAACTACCTTTTCACTTAAACCAGTCCAATAAAGACTTTCATGCTAATTAAAAAAAAAACTATCTATGGTTTTTTAGTTAAATAAAGATATTTTTATATTCCAAATATTAAAAACATCCTTTTGTTAAAAGATGATAAATCTAGACATAGAAAGTCAGTGAAATTTTAATACTTTACTGTAACTTAACCTTTTCCTAAAATTAATTTTTCCTAAGTAAAAAGCTTTGTAATAAGTAATATTCAGTCTTAATTTTTAATGAATTTAATTTCCTAATTTGTATTCAGCAATTTGTTTCTGTATTGTATCACAGAACGAACCTATTAAAGTACATAAAGGAGAAAATGAATAACTACATATTTGAGGTTTAGTAGGGTATGTAAATAACTAAATACTCTTAACATATATTTGCTTGTTATTCTAAAACCTGCATACATTACAGATTGTCTTGTCTTCATTCTTCTTACTCTACATGGCTTTAGTAATAGAATTTTGGGAAAAACAAGTCTTTCCCTAAAAACTATTTCATGTTTGTTGAAGACATACATATTCACATGGACTGTAGAGATCCAGTGCTGCCTATATACATTATAACTGCCTGTCTTCCTGGTACTATTGCTAAGGGCATGCTATTTTATCCTCAGTATGGCCAGATGAAGGGTAAACTTGTTATTCGTGATAAGGATATGTACGTGAGATAAGTGATGTAGTGGTGTTTCAAATTTGTGACCAACTTGGGGACATTCAGGTGTTGGAGTTTAACATTCCCAGCACTAGGCAGAGAATTTATCAGTCCCAACCTATTTAACTTTAAAAAAACGGGCATATCCTAGAATAAAAGACATCAGACTGCAGGCCTTCTAGAACATTGATTCATCTGATCTGTCTTATTAAGCTTCTACTAAAC